TCTCTTCTCTCCTCTTCTCTCTTCTCTTCTCTCTTCTCTTCAGATTTTACTTTTAAGTAATCTCTACATCCAACGTGAAGCCTGAACCTACAATTCCAAGATCAAGAGTCGCATGCTCTACCAACTGAGCCAGCCAGGTGTCCCTCTGCTCTTGATTTCTGATATAATTCCACTTTGGTGAAGTAATATATATTGCATTACTTGAATTTTTAAAAACATATTGAGACCTGTGTTATGGCTTAGAATACGGTCTGTCTTGATAAATGTTTCAGACGCATTTGAGAAGAATGTGTATTCTTCTATTGATAGGTGGAGTCTTCCATAAATGTCTATTAGTTCAAGCTGGTTGAGAGTGCTGTTAAAGTCATCTATACCCCTGCTGAATTTTAGTCTACTTGTTTCGTCAGTATTTAGGAGAAGTATTGAAATCTCTGGTAAAACTATAAATTTTTATTCTCTTTTTGGTTCTTTTATATATTGATCCTTTAATATAATTATGAAAAAAACCCCTCTTTATCCCTGGTAATATTTTATTGCTTTGAAATATACTTTGACAACTATTAACATCACAGCCTATCTTCAAGTAATATTCCATACCACTTAGGAGCCTTAAAATAGAATATTTCCATTTCTCCCTCCTAGTCTTTTGGATACTGTTTTTACAAATTTTTACTTATACTTCTGTAATAAACCCTATACTGCAATGTTATTTTTTTCTTAAAAAAGTAAATTATTTTTGAAATACACTTACAAAAGTATTATTGGGGTGCCTGGCTGGCTCATTCAGTAAAGGATGTGACCTTTTTTTAAGTTTATTTATTTTGAGAGACAGTGTGCGTGTGCATGCATGCAAGTGAGGGAGGGACAGAGAGAGAGGGAGAGAGAGGATCCCAAGCAGGTCTGCACTGTCTGCACAGAGCCAACGCAGGGCTCTGTCCCACAAACCATGAGATTATGACCTGAGCCGAAATCAAGAGTTGGACGCTTAACCGACTGAGCCGCCCAGGTGCCCCAAGCATGTGACTCTTGAACTCAGGGTCATGAATTCAAGTCTCATGTTGGGCATGGAGACTACTTAAAAAAATTATTAATCATTACTAACTATTATTATATTAGTACATTTATTACTATTTTGAATATTTTTTATTCCTTTGTGTAGATTCAGATTTCCATGTGGTATCACTTTCTTTCTGCTTGAAGTCCTTCTTTTAACATTTCTAGTACTGTAGGTCTGGTGGTGATAAATTACTTTAGCCTTTTTTTCCTGAAAAATTCTGTACATTGTCTTATTTTTGAAAAATATTTTTCTGTGTAGCATTTTGATTTTTTTCTTTTTAGTACTTTCAAGATACTACTCTATTGTCTTCTGGCTTGCATTGTGTCTAATAAGAAGTCTGTGATTTTCTTATTTTTTCCCCTTCCACATGTTATGCTGATATTCTCTGGCTGCCTTAAAATTTTTCTCCTTATTGCAGGTTTTAAGCAATTTGGTTATGATGTGCCTTGGCATAGTGTACTCTATATTTCTTGTATTTGGAATTTAATAAGCTTTTTGGATCTGTAGTTTTTAGTTCTCACCAAATTTGGAAAAAATTTTCATTGTTCAAATGTTTTTTACTCTTCCTTTGGGAACATATGAAATACAGTAACTGTTTAATGTTCCTACTCATTCTACCAAGTGTGTCATTTCTGGGTTTATTTGTATTGATTGAGTTACTTCATTTTGGGAACTATTTTCTTGCTTCTTTACTTGCCTGGTAATTTTTGATTGGATGACAAATACTATAAATTTTACTTCTTGGGTATGTTTGAATTATCATTTTTTTAATACTTTATTTTTTCAGTAATCTCTGCACCCAACATGAGGCTTGAACTTACAACGCCGAGGCAAGAGTTGCATGCTCTACTGACTGAGCCAGCCAGGTGCCCTGGTATTTTTGAATTCTTAAATATTTATTATGGAGCTTTGTACTGGAACACATTTAAATTACTTGGAAATAGTTTGATCCCTTTGAGGTTTGCTTTTAAGCTTTGTTAGTTGGGCTCATAGCTGTGTTTAGTATGGGACTATTCCCCCTTTTCCCCCAAACTCTGAGGAAATACATTCCTTAATATCCAACTCAATGACCCATGAATTTAGAGACTGCTCACTTGAGCTGGTTTAATAAGAACTACTTTTTTTTTTAAGTTTATTTATTTATTTTGAGAGAGAGAGAGTGGGAGAGGGGCAGAGAGAGAGCAAGAGAGAATCCCTAGCAGGCTGTGCACAGTCAGTGCTCAAACTCACAAACTGTGAGATCATGACCTGAGCAGAAATCAAGAGTTGGACACTTAACCGACGAAGCCACCCTGGTGCCCTAATAACTACTTTTAAACTGGTGGTACCAGAGGCGGGGGTTGGTTAAACAAGTGATGGGGATTCAGTAGTGCACTTATCATGATGAGCACTGGGTGATGTACAGAAGTGTAGAATTACTATACTGTCCATCTGAAACTAATATAACACTGTATGTTAACTAGCTGGAATTAAAATAAAAACTTAAAAGAATAAGAACTACTCCTGACCCTTTGTAAGCCTTTGTGAAAGGACTGTTCTCTTTCCTCCTTTCCGGCACATCTTTCCTCTGCTGTTGGCAGTTTTCTTAATGTGCTGATCAGTACCCAGATGAAGACTCAGTGGAGAACCTATGAAGATCTCTGGAACTCTGAGAAACTCTCTTCTTTTAGTTCTTTGTTCTAAGGATGCTGCCTAGTTTGGCTTCCTGGGCTCTGCATGGGTTTCCCCTTCTAGCTCTGAGGCTTGGAAACTATCCAGACAGTAACCTGGATCAGTGATAAGATTTATTTCATTTGTTTCTTTTTCCTCAGGGATCACGATGTCCAATGTTAGAAAATTGTTCCACATATTTTGTTCTGTTTCTTAGGTGTTTCAAGCAGAAAGGTAAACCCGGTTCCTGTTAACCTATCTTGGCTGAAAGCAGAAATCTCTAATTTCATCTGGTTTTCATAGCATTTGACACAAATGATCTCTTCCTCTTTTGTGACACTTTCCTTTGTTGGCTTCTATGATACCATACTCTCCTGGCTTTCTTTTTATTTTCTAGCCATTCTCTAGATTCCTTTGTTGGCGACTGCTTTTCTACCTGAATTTAAATTTTGCTGGGTCCTGCTTCTCAATATCCTGTCCTAGTTGCTTCTCCATCTATAATTTATTTCTAATTGGACAGCTTTAATCAGGTCCATCAGGTCCATTGCTTAACCACTGTCATCTCTTCCCTGCCTTGGTTCCCAAACACCATTCTCCACACAGCAGCCAAATCAAACAGATTGGTTCATGCACTTTTCTGAATAAGACCCTCTCATGCAACAGTTCTTAACCTGCTTTGTGTCAGGGACTTCTCTGGAAGACTGATGAAATCTGAGGACTCCTTACCAGAAGGATTTATAACAATGTGCTAAATAACCCATGGGTCTCAAAGAAAACAAATAAATTGAAATATAGTATTCAAAATATTTAACAAAAAATTTAAAGTTGTGATACAGTTATGGTTGTGTTTCATTATTAGCATATTAAATAACAAGATATAATAGTAATGAGTGTAAAGATATTCTAACATGTCTATAACAACTGTAATGAGATATCAAAATTTCTGTGATTTTCATTGGTGATGTTATAGGCCCTGGTCATAATACTGTAGTTTGTTGTTCATATTCATAATTAAATTAATTTTTCATCAAGGATAGGTGGGAAAAAAAGTTATGATATTTTTCTAATTCAGGTTAATTGCCTCTGAATTCTGTCCAGACTTTCCTTGTGGGTCATGGACCACTGGTTAAAAACCTCTGATGGCTTTCTGACAGAGTAAGAAAAGAATCTAAAAGACAAGATCAAAATCTTACTATGGTCTACAAGGTGCTGCCTGATCCAGCCCCTGAGTATCTCACACAACTCTTTGCCCATCTTTCTCCTTAGTCACTGTGACCCCCAACTCCAGGCCCTTATATTAGCTGTTCCCCCTATTTAAAATAATACCACCTCTGTCCTAGCTACTGATTTATTACCTTTTGGGTCCAAATGCACCCTTTTACCTGATAAATATTTTTCCTTTATCAGATAGTAAGATGTCAAGCTGTGTCAGTTGAGGGTACTGGAAAAACACTACGGGGGGGATTTTTCTTTCTGGTGGCTTACTGGGAAGGCTCCTGCAGGAGGAGTTTTTCTCTCTGCTACTCTGCTTGCACAGTTTTTTTCAGAGTTAATTGAGTGCAGTTTTCTCTTGTGTTTGGCCACCAAGTGCTTTGTCCAGCTCTTGGCTTGGCCAGGAGAGGCCTAACCATGGGACCCAGATAGCACTGGCCTGTGATTCAGCCAGGTCACTAACGCATGCACCTCACTACACATGGGGCTGTACTTGACTCTTGCATAGGGCAACCTGCCCAGTTCCTGGTTCCAACAGTGCCCTGTAGCTTCTTCTGGCACCTAGGGATTCTGGCATGCCACAGGACAGATTTCCAGCAAACCCCACCAGTGAGGTATCTTATCAACTTCTCTGCCATCCAGTGAACAAAAGCTGTGCCCTTTGAAGTGAGGCATGAATCTCAACCTTGGCTGGGGAAGAATCAGGGCTCTTCTTTGGGTCTCTATTTCAACCTCACTAGTGGTTGCTACTTTTGTCTGCTACCTCTGTATTCTTTAGAATTCTCTTAATTTTCACTAGCCAAATACTGCTATGTCTAAAGGAACTAGAAAAAGAAGAGCAAAGCCCATTCTTAAGAGATTTCTTGCCTCCAAAATGACCTGTGGCATAAATGCAGTCTTATTTGAGGACCTCTTTGTTAGAGCATTACTGTAATACTACAGTGAAGTTTGGGAAAGATTTGCTTTATACACTTAGTGCTAAAGTAATATTTTATCATATATTATAAATATTATAAGAATTAAATGAAAATTAATTGGAGAACATGTGGGTAAAACTTGTTGATATTTGTTAAACCATTACCTCTTTATATTGGATGGATTCCTCAGACTTGCCAGTAAAGTCTGACTTGATGTTACTCATAGAGCACAGAGAAACCGAGTTGGTATTTTTTTCAGTAGAATATGCCATTGGTCCCATCTGTTCATCAGCTTTTTTAATATCCTTAAATGAAGAATATACATGTCACCATTAGAATAATGCCTTCAAAATTCAAAAGAATTTTATTAAGCATCCCTCTAAAACTGTATTGCAACTGATACTGAAAGTGATATATTCTTGTGCAGTTCTTGCTGAAGTTTTCAGGCGTGATAGAGGACTAGTAAGTCCAACTTATACTAAAATGTTAGTGGATGACAATAGCTTCTTGTGCTTTCTTTTCCAAAGACCTGTATAATTAACTGGAGAGAACAATGCCTTAGTTGAAAACAACTATTCCACTAGAAGGGACAGATTTTAGTAAAAAGAACTTTGTGAGGGAGAAGACTTCAAAGATACTCTTTCTGATTCCTTATTCCTAGCCTTTCATGAAACTTATAAATTTATAACATATAGCTAGGCACTTAAATGTGATGCTGGCTCTAGGCTTGAGAGAGATGTCAGGAGACAATAACACTTGCTAGGCCTGCAACTGCTGCCCCTTCCAAACTGATTGGAAAGCAACTCAATGGGCCAGCTCCTAGAGAATAAGAAATTGCAGAGACATCAAGTTAACTTTAAAGACACTGTTTAAATGATAGGGCAAGGAGGAAGTTCTAAACCAGACTGCTCTAAGTCTAGTTTTTGGGTTTTTTGGCTACTCAGAGAAATGAGATCAGATTTAGTGAAATAAAGAAAAACTACACATTCTCTGCTCAACTGAATATGGTGTGAGTAAATTTGTGACTTCCCCACGAAGAGATGAAGAGGGAGACAAGACAGAAATGAGGAGCCCAGTTTGGATGATGGTGTCCCAGACCAGGTTGGAGCAGAGACAGACAGTCTTAGATGGATTTAGGTGCAAAAGAGCATATGCATATGGAAGGCTTTCCAGACACTGTGCTTCTTTGACAAGCTTAACAACTGTTAATCAGTCATTTCAAAGTATGGTAAGCTTTAACCAGCTTTATAGTATCTTAACATCTTTAATCAGACATTCTTTTATGCTATCACTTTCTTTTTTTTTTTTTTTTTCCTATAAATTTCTCTACCAAGAAAGAAATCATTTACTTGGCTTTTTTCAGGAGCTATTTATTTTGTGGCAGGCTTAAAATGAAATTTTGACCTCTTCTCATAATAAATTTTTCTAAGAAGGTGTTTAACAGGTCAAAGACAATTTCTTTTCCTGAGAAGCCTGCTAGACAAAATACTTATGATAGGAAGTTTTGGTATGTATCTATCTACCAGTTTTTATTTCATTTTCATGTGAAAAAACCACTAAAGGAATATGTCTGTAAGTAATCATATATGTTTAAGATAAATAATTACAGCATTACTCTTCCTGGTTTGAACTTTTCTAAAAAGTTTGATTGGATAATACTAACAATAGTAATATAATAAAATTTAGTATGCCAACAGTAACTCTAAATACTTTATATGAATGACTCATTTAAGACTTACAGAAATTCATAACTGAGTTACTTTTATTTTCTCCATGTTAAAGATTAGAAAACTGAGGCACAGGGAATTTAAATAACTTGCCTAAGGGCCTAAAACTATTAAGTGGCATAGTCAGAATTTCAAATTACAGTGTCTCCAGAGCTCATAACCCTAACCACTGCTATGCTGCTTCTTGTGATTGATTCTCTTAACAACAGTAACTTTACAACACTTATGAGCATCATGAATTCTAACAAACTGATTCATTTGGCCATTACAGGTATAGTGGCAAATAAACACTTCCAGAGTTTCAGAAATGCGTCACTGTTTATGTAGATACCACAGATGTTATGTTTGCTATGCAGTACCCAGAATATTGTAGTTGTTCACTGAGTATTAAAAATGGTATTGTTTTATCAGAATGAACCTTATTTTTGGTAATCAGAGACTACCAATCCATTTTGAATAAGGTGTTTTAAATACTTATACATTTATACCACAAACATTCCATTTTTGTTTTCCTTACATTGTGAAACTCTTTAACATAAGACCTAATAATGAAGTTTTAGTTTAGTTATAATGAAAAATAAAGGCACGTTACTTCAAAGAAAGATACGAGTGTAGTAGCTTTAAAAAACATCAAAATAGGGTTAATTTAACATAGCTATTTCCTTTTATTGGTATCCTTATTAGTTTGAAAGTATAGAACTTAATAATTTCATAAATTGTTAGGTGTACTCTGGAATGAAAATCATACAGATTCAACTGTCATATAATGGCTAATTTTATTTTTAAAGAAAAATATGGCCTAATATGAAATAAAATTGAAACTGGAAGGTTTTGAATCTATATAAGATTACATTTTCAAACTTTTTTTTTTTACTATGACTGCTTTATAGAAGGTGTTTAAAAATAATTCATTCTAGCATTGTGGAGAAAGCTAGGGTTCAGAATGTGAAGTTTTAAGTGTGAGGAGGACATGGAGGCTCATAACTTTCTAAATTTCATAATTTGTGAAATAATATTTTTAATTAAGTTTTCCATTGTAATTCCAGTACAGTTAACATACAGTGTTATATTAGTTCCACGCATACAATATAGTGATTCAACAATTCCATACATTTTGACCTACGTACTGACCTATTTTCACTGAGCATTATACTCTCTAGCTCTGTCCATGTCATTTCAAATGGTAAGATTTCATAATTTTTTATGGCTGAATAATATTCCACTGTATATATACACCACATCTTCTTTATCCATTTATCAATCAAAGGACACTTGGGCTGTTTCTATAATTTGGCTATTGTAAATAAAGTTGCAATAAATACAGGGGTGCATGTATCCCTTTGAATTAGTGTTTTTGTATTTTTTGGGTGAATACCAAGTAGTGCAACTACTGGATAATAGGACAGTTTTACTTTCAACTTTTTGAGGACCCTCTATTCTGTTTTCCACAGTGGTTTTATCAGTTTACATTCCCACCAATAGTGCATGAGGGTTTTTCTTCACACCCTCACTAACACTTGTTTCTTTTTTCTTTTCTTTTTTTTAAGTTTATTTATTTTGAGAGAAAGAAAGAGAGAAAGAGAGTGCGTGTGCAGGTGTGGGGCAGAGAGAGAGAGGGCTCTCAGTGTAGAGCCTGATGTGGGGCTTGACCCCATGTACCATGAGACCATGACCTGAGCCAAAATCCGGAGTTGGATGCTTAACCAAGTGAGCCATACAGGCATCCATTTCTTGTGTTTTTGATTTTCACCATTTTGATAGGTGTAAGGTGATATCTCACTGTAGTTTTGATTTGAATTTCCCTGATGATGAGTGATGTTGAGCATTATTTCATGTTGGTCATCTGGATGTCTTCTTTGGGAACCTGTTTTCAGTGTGCCTGGCAAATATTAGGTGCTAGGTAACCATTCTTTAATTTTCATCATATTATCTAGCACAATGCTGGGGATATTAGTCACATTGCATTTATTCACAGAGGAATTATAAATAAGCCTTGGTTGCTTTGTGAAATCTAAGATTATGATTCAGGACCTCTGTGGTATGATCTCTGAAAGGTTAAAAAAAAAAAAAAACAACCCTGCTAACATAGCATTATGTTACATAAACATTACCTGTGACATTACAAGTGAATAATATAGACCTTGTTTTGCCATTAATTCAGCATGTATTCCTTTTTCTGCCACCATCCCATCTTTTATGGTCACAATCAGATCTGCACTTCGAATAGTGGAAAGTCGGTGTGCTATGACAATTGTAGTTCGACCTTTGCTTGCCTACAAAACAGTAAGTATAGAAAACAAATATGAAATTAATAGAAATAACAAACTTTGAAATATTCAAAAAAGCTTGTTATTTTAAATATTAAGGAATCCTTGAATCTAGAAATTTGGACTTAAATGGATTAGGAAGACCAATAAAAATAATTTGGTAATTTAAAATGTAAACATACTCCTATCATAAGATCCATCCATTTAAATCCCAGATATTTATTCAAGGGAAATAAAAGTGCATGTCCACAGAAAGGCTTACATATGAATGTTCAGAGCAACCTTATGTGTAATATCCCAAAACTACAAACAAACTTAATAACTTAAATGGGCATCGATACCAATAAGCTCAAACATTCCATACAATGGAATACTATTTACCAATAAAAAGGAACTATTGATACATTCCACAATAAGGACAGGTCTGAAAACAAGTATGCTGAGTGCAAGAAGTCAGAGAGTATAGAATACATATTGTATGATTCTATATACACAAAGTTCTAGAAAATACATACTAATTTATACTGGCAGTAAACAAACCAGGGGTGGTCAAGAGCCAGGCAGAAGAAAGAGGGTTGGGATGGAGTATTTACAAAAAGCATGTAAAAGTTTTGAGGAATGATTGGTTGGCTATGTTGATTGTGGTGGTTTCACAGGTGTACATTTATGCCCAAACTTTTCTAAGTGTATACTTTTATATGTGCAGTGTAAGTCAATTAAACCTCAAAAAAAGCTGTTAGGAAAAAGAATCTCAAACAAAAGAACCAGCTTATTTATACCACCCAAGGTGGCCATTCTTGAAGTTCTGTAAGAATCCTGAATGGGACTGAGGCATTTTAATGAATGTTATGCAAATGTAATGATAAAGTAGATTGAGGAGCAACTAACTATTGTAGGTAGAAAGATTTATTTTTCTTAATTTTGGCAAAGTCTGATGAAGCACACATAATTATATTGTTAATTGGCAATTACTAGAATATGTGAGTTTCTCTAGGTGATATTTATTTGATATAGTCTGAAGAAGACAAGTCTAAACACTAAAATGTGTAGTGCTCCCTTTATTTTTCATAGTGCAAATATAGACTTCTTTTCCTTCCAAGATTTTATTTAAATTCGTTAGTTAACACATAGTGTAGTATTGGTTTCTGGAGTAGAATTTAGTGATTCCAAACTTACATATAACACCCAGGACTCATCACAACAAGTGCCCTCCTTATGCCCATCACCCATTTAGCCCATTCCAATAAACAGTGGAGCTCATGCATCCCTTCAAATCAGTATTTCTGTATCCTTTGGGTAAATACCTAGTAGTGCAATTGTGGGGGTAGTCCTATTTTTAACATTTTTGAGGAAATCTCCATACTGTTTTCCAGAATAGCTGCACCAATTTGCATTCCCATCAACAGTGTAAGAGAGCTCCCCTTTCTCTTCATCCTTGCCAACACCTGTTATTTCTTGTGTTGTTAATTTTAGCCATTCTGACAGATGTGAGGTGATATCTCATTGTGGTTTTGATTTGCATTTCCCTGATGATGAGTGATGTTGAGCATTTTTTCATGTGTCTGTTAGCCATTTGTATATCTTCTTTAGACAAATGTCTGTTCATGTCTTCTGCCCATTTCTTAACTGGATTACTTATTTTTTTGATGTTGAGTTTGATAAGTTCTTTATAGATTTTGAATACTAGCCCTTTAACCAATATGTCATTTGCAAATATCTTTTCCCATTCTGTTGGTTGCCTTTTAGTTTCGTTGATTGTTTCCTTTGCTGTGCAGAAGCTTTTTATCTTGGTGAAGTCCAAATAGTTCATTTTTGCTTTTGTTTCCCTTGCCTCCAGAGACGTGTCTAGTAAGAAGTTGCTGCAGCTGAGGTTAAAGAGGTTGTTGCCTGTGTTCTCCTCTAGGATTCTGATGGTTTCCTGTCTCACATTTAGGTTTTTCATCCATTTTGAGTATATTTTTGTGTATGGTGTAAGAAAGTGGTCCTATATAAACATGGGTGAATGATAACTGGGAAGAGAGTTTTTATTGTTTGTTTGTTTTCCTCAGTCTATTATTTTTATGTGGTAATTCTAAGTCTTGCTTATGAATGGTATAATACAATAGGCAAATTTTTTTGTTTTATTTTTTAATAAATTTTTTTTTCAGTTTATTTATTTTGAGAGAGACAGAGGCATCACACGTGCATATGAGTAGGGGAAGGGCAGAAAGAGTGGGAGAGAGAGAGACAGAGAGAGAGAGAGAGAGAGAGAGAGAGAGAGAGAGAATATGAGAATCCCCAGCAGGCTCTGCACTATCAGCACAGAGCCTAATGTGGGGCTCAAACTCGTGAACCATGAGATCATGACCTGAGCCAAAACCAAGAATCAGACGCTTAAACAACGGAGCCATCCAGGCAACCCTAGTTTAGTTTTTTAAAATCAACTTTATTTTAGGATGGTTTCAATTTAGGGAAAATTTGCAAAGATACTACGGTATTCATGTACCCTGCACACAGTATCCCCCAGTGTCAATACCTGACATTTCTATGGTGCATTTTTTACAACAAATGAACCAGTATCAATATCTTATCAACTAAATTCTTATTTATTTATTTATTTATTTATTTATTTTTTATTTTTTTTTTCAACGTTTTTTTTATTTATTTTTGGGACAGAGAGAGACAGAGCATGAACGGGGGAGGAGCAGAGAGAGAGGGAGACACAGAATCGGAAACAGGCTCCAGGCTCTGAGCCATCAGCCCAGAGCCTGATGCAGGGCTCGAACTCACGGACCGCGAGATCGTGACCTGGCTGAAGTCGGACGCTTAACTGACTGTGCCACCCAGGCGCCACTTATCAACTAAATTCTATACTTTATTCATATTTCCTTAATATTTACCTATTATCTTTTTTCTGCTCCCAGATCCCCTTCAAAATACATTGCCACTTAGGCATCATGTCTCCTCAGGCTCTTCTTAGTTGTGACAATTTTTCAGATATTCCTTATTTTGTACGAACTTGGTATTTTTGAGGAATACCAGTCAGATACTCTGTAAAATGTCTCTCAATTTGCATTTGTCTGATGTGCCTAAGTTTTAGAGGTAAGACATTCAGCCTATACTAATCCCACTTTTCTCATTTGAACTTCAAGTCTGAATTGTATTCTGGATCTTGGAGACCTGAGACTTGCCTACAGCACCTTAAAGGGGAATGAATGTAAGAATGCTGTTGTTGAGTGGGCATTCATTAGGACTACCAGTGCAAAGGTGAAAACACTCAAGACACCCAGGTTCCTGACCCATATCTCTCTCAATTATTCAATTACATTTCCTTGAGGTGACAAATGTTATTTCTTAAAAGCAACCAGATCTCAAAACTTACTGATGAAGCTATAAGATGTTACCAAATAGCTCAATGATTTCACAATACTATTAAATATTTCTCAGAGCAAATTAATATGTATGAAATTTACTTAAAAATATAAAAGGGCACATATAACACATATACTATAAGGAGAATGTAGGACAGAAGGACTTGTAAAATCAAACAATGGGGAGACTGCAATTAGAAAAGGTTTGAGAATAGTATGCAGTCTCGTGACATAATCAGAATATAAGGTTTCCTGAAGCAGGTTATATTATTCTAGACCTTCTTTTCTTCATGGGAGACTCACTTTGCAAGCATTTTTACAGACCTATCTACTAATATTTCTTCACTTCTTAGGCATTACTTATGGAACAAATTTACTTATTTTGCAAAAGTTCATGCTGTTGTCTGACATCTGAAAACAGACAGTAAGGGATGACATTTCTGCAGCTGTGCCTCAGTGAGCATTGATGTTCCCTCAGACTGGAATGGCCTGCACTTACTCATCTCTACCATCTTTACTCTGCTAAGCTCATGGTCTAAACTCTAAACATTTGATTAGCTTATTATAGAATGATTAGTGTTTGAATGTATCAAATAAATCACATTGTCAATTAGAAAATTAGCAATTAGAAAAATCGATATATAGAAGGTTTTCTTATTTTGGGGGAGGACAAGGCTTAGGAATAATTTAAATTTACAGAAACCACTCCTGTCTTGAGGGGAAGATGGCGGTGTAGGAAGACTCTGAGCTCACCGCGTCCTGCTGATCACTTAGATTCCACCTACACCTGCCTAAATAACCCAGAAAACCGCCAGAAGACCAGCAGAACAGAGTCTCCAGAGCCAAGTGCAGACGAGAGGTCCATGCAAGAGGGTAGGAAGGGCAGCGAGGTGGTGCGTGCTCCACGGACTGGAGGGAGGGAGCCAGGGCGGAGGGGCGGCCCGCCAGCCAAGCAGAGCCCCCGAGTCTGGCTTGCAAAAGCGGAGGGGCCGGACGGAGTGTGTTCTGACAGCAAGCGGGACTTAACATCTGGAAGGTTATAAGCTAACAGCTCTGCTCAGAGAACGGGAGGGCTGGAGGACAACAGGAGGGAGAGTTGGTGAGCCCCGGATGACAGAGCGCAGCTTGGCGGGGAACAAAGGCGCTTGCCAGCGCCATCTCCCTCACCCATCCCCCAGCCAAAATCCCAAAGGGAACCAGTTCCTGCCAGGGAACTTGCTTGCTCCGTGCAAACACCCAA